AAGAGATGGGGAAGGTCACTTCATACTCGTCAAAGGAAAATTCCACCAGGAAGACAACAATCCTGAACATCTATGACCCAATTACAAGGGCACCCACATTTGTAAAAGAAACATTAATAAAACTTAAACCACACAAAGATCCCCACACATTAATAGTGGGAGACTTCAACACTCCACTCTCAACAAAGGTCAGATCAACAAAACAGAAATCAAACCAAGAAATAATGACTCTAACAGAGTTCATGAATCAAATGGACCTAACAGACATCTACAGAACCTTTCACCCAAACACAAAAGAATTTACCTTCTTCTCAGCACCTCATGGAACCTTCTCCAAAACAGACCATACAGTTGGTCACAAAGCAAGCCTCAACAGATACAAGAAGATTGAAATAATCCCTTGTATCCTATCTGACCATCATGGACTAAAGCTGGACCTCAACAACATCAGAAATAGTAAAAAGCCTAAAACATGGAAACTGAACAATTCGCTACTGAATGACATCTGGGTCAGGAAAGAAATTAAAGTCTTCCTAGAATTCAATGAAAATGAAGGCACAACATACCCAAACTTGTGGGACACAATGAAAGCAGTGCTAAGAGGAAAGTTCATAGGACTAAGTGCCTTCAAGAAGAAATTCGAAAAATCTCATACAAGCAACTTAATGGCTCACCTAAAAGCCCTAGAAATAAAAGAAGCAGACACACCAAAGAGGAATAGATGGCTGGAAATAATCAAACTCAGGGCTGAAATCAATAAAACAGAAACAAATAAAACAATTCAAAGAATTAATGAAACTAATAGCTGGTTCTTTGAAAAAAATCAAGATAGACAAACCCTTAGCCAAACTAACTAAAAGGCAGAGAGACACTATCCAAATAAACAAAATCAGAAATGAAAAGGGGGACATAGTAACTAAGGAAATCCAAGCAATCATTAGGTCTTCAAAAGCCTATATGTCACAAAATTTGAAAAGCTAAATGAAAAGGACAATTTTCTTGATCGATTCGACTTACCGAAGCTGAATCAGGACCAGGTAAATCATTTAAATAGTCTTATATCCCCTAAGGATATAGAAGCTGTTATCAAAAGTCTCCCATCCAAAAAAAAGCCCAGGGCTAGATGGTTTCAGTTCAGAATTCTACCAGACCTTCAAAGAAGAGCTAACTCCACTATTCTTCAAACTATTCCACAAAATAGAAACAGAAAGGAACACTACCAAACTGGTAGGAATATAAACTTGTACAACCACTTTGGAAATCAATCTTGTGCTTTCTCAATTAGGAATGGTGCTACCTCAAAATCCAGCTATACAACTCCTAGGCACATATACAAAAGATGCTCAAGTATACAACAAGGACATTTACTCAACCATGTTTGTAGCAGCTTTATTCATAATAGCCAGAAGCTGGAAACAACCCAGATGTCCCTCGGTTGAGGAATGTATACAGAAATTGTGGTACTTTTACACATGGAATACTACTCAGCAATTAAAAACAAGGAAATCGTGAAATTTGCAGGCAAATGGTGGGATCTAGGAAAGATCATCCTAAGTGAGGTCTTCCAAAAGGAGAAAGACACACATGGTATATACTAACTATAAGTGGATATCAGACATATAATATAGGATAAACATACTAAAATCTGTACACCCCAAAAAGCTAAGCAAGAAGGAGGACTCTGAGTAAGATGCTCAATCCTCATTCAGAAAGGCAAATGGGACAGACATCAGAAGAGGGAGAAAACAGGTAACAGGACAGGAGCTTACCACAGAGGGCCTCTGAAAGACTACCCTGCAGGATATCAAAGCAGATGTTGAGACTCATAGCCAAACTTTGGGCAGAATGCAGGGAATCTTATGAAAGAAGGGGAAATTGAAAGACCTGGAGGGGACAGGAGCTCCACAAGGAGATCAACAGAACCAAAAAGTCTGGACACAGGGATGTTTCTGAGACTGATACTCCAAACAAGGACCATTCATCAAGATAACCTAGAACCCATGCACAGATGTAGCCCATGGCAGCTCAGTGTCCAAGTGGGTTCCATAGTAATGGGAACAGGGACTGTCTCTGACATGAAGCGATTGGCCTGCTCTTTGATCAAGTCCCCCTCAGGTGGTGAAGCCTTATCAGGCCACAGAAGTATATGAGGCAGCCACTCCTGATGAGACCTGATAGACTAGGATCAGATGGAAGCGGGGGAGGACCTCCCCTGTCAGTGGACTGGGAGAGGGGCATGGGTGGAGAAGAGGGAAGGATGGTGGGATTGGGAGGGGAAGAAGAAGGGAGCTACAGGTGGGATACAAAGTGAATAAACTCTAATTAATAAAAATAAAATATATCTTTAAAAAAAAAGCAGAAAAAAAGAAACTCTTAATAGTTTTCATCTGAAAGATTAAGCCAAGCCAGACAACAGTAATCTTTTACTAATAATATTTGCTGAATCAATAAAAGGCAACTTTACATCATAAGAAGCTGTAATAAAATAACATACTTCAATATTTGTAGGTGTATTTATATTATATAACATGTCTATATTCCTGTGTGTATATGTATATATATGTAAATGTTCCTGTGGAATGTATACAATCTATCCTTGTTCATTCAAATGCTGACTTATCTACCCCATTATCTGGTTTCAATCCAATATTGCATTATGAAGTTTATTGTAAGCATCACCTGTCTTGAGTTTATGTAAACATGCCACCATTTGTTCTCTGTATTTTCAATAAAACAACCAGTCAATGCTGTGCAATGGAGAGAATACGGTGAGACATCCTGGTCCTGAGGGGAGTATAAAGAAGTGAGTGGGAGGGGTCAGAGAAGAGAGATTGGCAGGTGAGGACTTGAAACCATGAAGAGAGATGAACTGGACTTAAGATATGATTAAAATCAAGTATAATGTGAAAAATCTGAACGAGAGGAAACTATATGGGCTTGGAGGTTTAGGATGTTGTAAATATTGCCCAACATTGTGCTCTAGGTTAATTAAATAAATCCAAGTCCTGTGTGATTTGGGTATACAGCTGGCTTAGGAATAACCACAGTTTAATTCAAAGGTAAATCAATAATAAAGTTTAATCTTCAACAACATATATACATACATATACACATAAATATATATGTATATGTATGCATATATATGCACATATGTGTATATATGTGTGTGTATGATTTCTCATACTCACATGTGTATATATATATGACTATATACATATATACACGTGAGTATGAGAAATCATATATAATCATTGACTAGTAAGTACTATTCTTACCACTATTTTCCCCATGTCTCTCACCGAGTTTTCTAAAAGCACCTAAATATTCAAGGTACTAGGTATATAGTAGAGCTTTACAGTATCAAACAATTAAACAGCCTGAATCATGTTCTATGGCATTATTATAGACTTACAGTGACTTCTAAGAGTGTTCATCAACTAACAAAATATATTACTGTATGCTTTAGTGTTAGGGTCCAGAATGCACTAAGAAACAACCCCAAATGCAAATAGTATGCAAAAACAAAGAGTGTTTATTCTACAGAAGTCCAGCATGCAGGGATCACCATGCAGGCAGAATGGCGATCATGCAGGCTCTATTTAAAGCCAGTCAAGGGAATTTCCAAAAGCAGGTAGAACATCCTTACTACAATTAGCAAAAGTCAGTGGCTAGGGTACAAGTACACTGGAGATTGGCTAGGACTTTAGTCACCAGTTAGTGGCTTCCCCAACTGGTATTTGGGCAGCCTTGAGCAACCTTTTCTTTTCTGGCCAGATCTTCTGGCTGATTCTGATTACTGGCCCTACTCCCTGTGGGGTTTTTCAGGAAACACTACTTCATTTCTGAGGAATGCAGACTCTGGCCTGCTTTGCCAAACAAGGAAGTAAAGCCTGACATGGAGTCAAGCAGGCCAGTGTGTTTTTAGTCCTGCCCTCTCATTAGTATTCTATGTTTTCTTATTTTCCTCTATGTGATCATGTTCTCACCCTCAATATCCTTATCTGCAAAATAACGCTGTAAATGTTCCCATTGTATAGTAATATGGTGAAGATTTTTAACTGCTAAGGCCAGTGGTTCTCAATCTGTGGCTTGTGACCCCGTTGCCAAACTTCTATCTCCCAAAATACTTATATTACCATTCACCACAGTAGCAAAATTACAGTTACGAAGTAGCAACAAAAGTAGTTTTGTGGTTGGGGTGGGGGTCACCAGAAAATGAGGAACTGTATTGAAGGGTCGCAGCATTAAGAAGGTCGAGAACCACTGCTGTAAGTAGACTATTACCTGATCTGCAGTAAGAAGTCATGAAAGCTACCATTACAAAAGAGAATATTCAGCTCATATCCAACAAAACACAAATATTCTCAAAGCAAGTAATTTTAAAAATTTGAACTAACCAATTTCAAGTTTAGTTTGGCATGCATTTCAGAAGACAAAAAATAGTATTTATAAAAGTCTTCATCATTAAGTACAAACATATGAAAGAGATATTTTATAGAAAAAAATGGCTGAATGTCAGAAAGTATAAAGGTTTGACTTTTGTGTATTTTTATATCTCCAAATTATTTTATGTCAGAAAATTAAGTACATTTTACTAAAGTGCATTTGTAATAATCTTAAGACATAGAACTCCAACATACCATTAAGATTCCTAAAACAATTCTAGTGTCATCATAAGCATATTCAGGTACAGAGGAACTTAATCATACTATCACAAAGGCAGTGAATACTGCTGTCGTAAAACATTGGCTGTTCAACCAACTACTATAGTTCTATAAAAAAGCAACTTCAACAATAAGAGAACAATGACTCCCTTTCATTTTAAAAGTCAGTCAAGGGCCTGAAGAGATGGCTCAGTGGTTAAAAGTCAGTCAAACTTACACTGAAGCATAAAAAGCAAATTAATGACTGCCTGTCAAATATACTGACTATTGTAAATTGCTTCCTGAATTGAAGCAGTGAACATAAAATACAAAACAAAAATAAAAATAAAAACTTACCATGCTTTCCCCTAGAAATATCCACATATTGGCAGAGTCTAGGATGGGTGATGGTCTTAAGGATTTGAAAACGGCCTAAAATTTTTATGGAATTTGGTGTGAGAGGAAGCCCATTGCTTCCACAAACATCATGTGGAAGAGCTGACGCAAAGAACGTAAAGGCACCCATTTCAGCATCCTTCAAAGGAAACATTTTTGGAGTCCTGGATCCTCTCAGATGATCTAAAATGAGAGAATTTTATGACAGATTCAGCCAACATTAATCCAGTATTTTCTCACATTAAAAGTGATATACAACTCAGGGGGAAAACATGCTACGCTGAACTCAACTATAAAAAATTAAAAATTTGAAAATTTCAAGACAATATACAAAAGGAAAACACCCAAACATAAGTTTATATTGCAACTCAAAATCAAATTCAAAGATTTTCAATAGCATAAAAAGAGAAAAGTGAGATTTTTTTCTTCAAATTCAATTATACCTGCAACAGGGGAGGGGTGTTTTGTTTTGTTTTGTTGCTTTGCTGTTGTTGTTGTTTCGATACAGGGTTCTCATCTATCCAGAGCTGGCCTCCCTCAGTGTCTTTGAACTTTTAATTCTCCCACCTTTACCTTCTAAGTTCTTGCATACAAGTATGTGTCACCATATGAGGACAGGTCTGTGACTTTCAGGTGTAGAGGAAATCTGGCACCCTCTCTAACCTAAAGCTTGACTAAACCTACTATCTACTAGTTGAAAGGAGGTTACTATAAAGTATGAACAAAAGTGCACCATTACAAAAACAGAAACAAGAATACAGTGTATAACGGTTAAAGTTCGGGGCTTCACCTTTGAGAAACTGGACAGTGCTACGCCGAAGTCAGAAGAAAGGTTGAAGTTAGAATGGTGACTCGAAATCCTGAAGTAGTAGAAGAGTCAGTTTTCCACCAGCTCCCCAATACATATGGAAAGTCACTTATTTTCTAAGTATAAAAGAAAAACAGAAGGAAAAAAAAAACAGATGAGAAAGAAAGGTAAAAGGAGAATGGAGGGAGGAAAAAGGGGAAGAGAAGTAGAAGAAAGTGAGTATATGAAACTAACTTATAATAACTGCTATAGACAGAGGGAAAGAGAGAAGATGGGAGGACAAGAGAGAGAAAAGGGAAGAGCGGGAAGTCTTCCATTCAAGAATTTTTAGTACCCCAGCTAAGTTTTGCTGTCCTAAAATGGGCATCTTCATAAAAAGGAAACAGCAGGTTCCATCCTTAACTCCTAAATACTAAACTAATAAGAAGCACCAGGTAGTTTAGAAGAGACTACAGGATAAAGAGCAAAAATGAACATTAACTCATACACACATACACACACACACACACACACACAAACACATGCAAAAAAAAAACCCCACAGCTTTGGTGGCACTGAAATAAATTGTGAGAAATGAAAAAACACACACACCTATTATAAGTACTTTTCTCTAGGATATAATTCAGTAAAACAGAGTTAATGGACAATACATATAAAGTAACAATAAAAATCACACAAGAGTTCAGTAAGAATAAACCTAAAGTAGAAGATATCCAGAAGAATTAAGGCACCGTTTGCCTAAATCAAACAAAAAAAAAAAAATTAAATTTTAAGGTAAATATTGTCAAGGAGAGGAATGGGCTTCTATAAATTCCAAAGAAAACTTGTAAAGACCTCCTGAAGGGCATTCATGTATCTTTTCTCTAAACAGAAACCAAAAGACAACAAAATAAAGAGATTTAAAAGGGGGAAAGGGTTAAAAATATGCCTAAACATACAGTCTACAAAATCAAGCACACTTACTATTGAAAGGAAATAAAGAACTGACTTAGCTTTGATATTATAAAAATGCTCATGCGGGTCCTGGCCTTAAAACAAGAACATGTGACCTAGCATAGTGCACGGTCTTCACTGAGAAATGATTATGAATTCCTAAATCAAACAATGCACTTAGGGGCTACGGTCAGTGTTGACAATATTTAACTAAAAGGTTCAGCTAAGGGGAAATGCAGATGTGCCTAGACTACACTAGGCATTAATGATAGGGCTATCAGCTAGACTACGCCAGGTAATAGTGATAGCTGTTTATTTACACATACCACTTGCTTTCAAAACTTAAAAGCCAGGTACCCATAGCCATGTGCATTCCATGGCCTACCAGGAGAGAAATGCAAAGGTTTGGTGACAGAATATATGCACACTGCTTCCTATCCCATTCAAAATCCAGACTTCAGACTTGCTCTATAAGAAGGCTTAAGAGCAAGAGGCCTCTTCTCTGTTCATTGGCAGCTAAACAAAATCTCCTGGCAGCTTTCAAAACCAATGGGCCTGCAAACTTGGTAACACAGGTGAATTCGTTTTTGTGATGGTAAAAGGAGACAGTCACTATTTTTCTCCTCTTAACAAAGGAGTCAAAACACATTCTTTAAGGTGATGTGTAAGCAGTTATGATGATTATTCTCGAATCTTGTAGATATTGTGGGCTAGCTTAAGTCAACAGAAAAAGGACTAGATTTTTATTTTTTTTCAATAAATAAATCCCAAATAACAGAAAATTATATTTTAATACCCGGCTTGAAGTCATAGGAAAGATGAGACTAACTGCGGCATTTTAGTATACAATTTTACAACAAAATAATAGATTTTCCGTTATAGATCTTAATCACAGACAATGAAAATCAAAACAAGTGTTTATTTATAATTCAAAAAGAGAAATCACGAGCAAGCATACATTTCATTATTGCTCTACTTCTCATAAAGCTCACAAGGAGACACACATGTCCTCTCCTCACACTTGGTGAAGAAAAGTGTAAACAAAACACGACGAGGTGAGAGATCATGAGGCAAAAGCCGTGTAGGTAGGCAGTTGAAGTGTGAAGTTGACTCAGGGAATACTTTGAAACCTCTACGTTAAGCCTGATGTTTTTATAGCTACTAGACTACTAACGACCAGTAACAAGACACAATATATACTCTGACAGAGCTTGGGGCTGAGTGACCCAAATGAGGGGAAAATGTAAAAAAAAAAAAAAAAAAAAAAAAAGGTTTTTTATCCTCAGTAAAATCGTTTTTTGCATTTCTAAGACTCAGTGAACTCAGGGAGAAGGAAGTCTGGAGACAAATGCAGCTGCAAGCAGCTCCTCAGGTTGGTTCTACCGGTTGCTGCAGACTGGAGAGGTCCCTTGATGCACCTGATTGTCCTCTACGTCCCACGAGTCCCACCCACGACAACACAGAATGTTAGGCCATCAGAATACCTGCCTGAATGTGGGGGCGCAGAGATTAGGGGGATGAGCTCCTAAGCGCGGTGGCTGCGCCTGGCGGTGTTACTGAGTGGGCCGTGCTCTGCATTTCAGGCGCGTCCGCCAGAGGCCGCCTATGGAAGGTGACCGCGGAGCCACAGGCCTTCGCCCGCGAGGGCGGCCCAGGGTCGCAGCTCAGAACCTGACCGGGAGCGTGCGCCTACCTCCACTGACAGCGCCCAGCAAACCCTCCCCTTCCGCCGCTTTGGGCCGGCCACTACTCATGACGTCACGACACCAAGACGCAACCCCGAGGAAAGACCCCCAACTTCCGGCCGCCTGTGTCCCTTGCCCAAACAGACAGCAATGTGTACCAAGTAAGAAAGACGTGAGGGCAGAAATGAGGGAGGAGGGATAAAATGAGGAACGAGGGCGTTGCGTGGTCCAGGAAGAGGACGCGCTCGGGAAGCGGGGCTGATGTGGGGCGAATCGGTGAACCGCTCAGGCATTTGCCACGGCCACCCTCCTGGGTCCTTTCTCCCTGCCGTGGACCGCGGTCGGCCTGTCTCTTCCTACACCTGGCTGTAGCTTCTTAAGCGCGGCGGCCCACCGCTTCATGTGAGTGTCCCGAGGGGGTCTGGGGTCGATTGGTAGCAGTCCGGAATTCCCCTTCCCTTTCTCACTCGGGAAAGGGAACCTGATCTTCCGGGTGCCAGTAGGAAGCGTGGTTATAGCTCCATCCGCGTGCCACGAGAAAACAGGAAAGGCTTGACCCCTTTTGATTCAACTAAGTTTTGGAAATAAATCCATGGCCGAGGGGAAGCGTGCTACTGGAGGCAGAGGATGAATTCATGAGCTTGTTTACTTTTAAGTGACTGTGCAAAGGATTTCTAGTGTTTGTACCCGGGAGGAGTTGAAGAGGGAAATTGATTCAGCAGATATTAGAAGAGCCAGCTATCACTGCACGTCAGGCCACATTTTAGTTATCAGTAAAGATCCACAAAAAGAGTAGAAAGAATAGTCAACAAAACGAACAAAAGTTCCAATCATTGCCTCTCAGCTAGGTTTTATTGTTTGCAGTATTACAGTAAAAGTAAGTTGAACATTACGTATTTTAACATTGATTTATTTGTGGGTGTGCGTGCATGCCTGAGTTCCTGTGCAAAACTTGTGTGGAGGTAACTGTGGAGGCCAAAAAATTTCAGATCCCCTTGATCAGGAGTTACTGATGATTGTGAGCCCCTACGTGAGTTCTGGGAACCAAACTTGGGTTCCCAGCAAAAGAACTAAGTGCTTTTAAATGCTGAGCGATCTCTCCAGACCTCATGCCATATTTTAAATTATAAATACTGAACAGAAATGGTATTAAGCAGTAAAGAGGTGTATTATTTGACATTGTAATGTGGCCAGAGAAGGTTCTCAAGGAAAAGATGGCTTTCTGGGAAGGCGACACAAATAAAATTAACTATACAGGAAACTTTCAGTAAGAAGGCCAAGCATGCAAAAGAAACTTACCAAAATATCAAGGGTTTTCAGCAATGCTTGGGAGCTCAAAATTGAGAGTAGGGATTAGCTATGGATACATTAGCAAAGAGAGCTGGCTGAGCATGGGGAAGGGGAATGAAAACCAATAGAAGGTTTTCAGTAGCCAAGTAATGTTGTCCAACTTCTTTTTAAGAGGGTTACTCAATAGACTGAGGACAGAAGTGAGAAAGGAAATCAGTTAGGAGGCTTTTGCTTTCCCTCAGAGGAAACCTAATAATGGCTTCCACACAGGTCTAAGAAGTGTCCAGTCATATCCAGTGCTCATACACCGGGAACAATGGATGGCACGTTTTATTTTCATTAATAAGGCTTTGGGAAACACTTTTAAATGAATTGTGTGGATTTCCGAACGACAAGTTAAAAATCACAGTTTTGCCGTTTCATTCTTAAGTGAATCCAGATACTACATATAATTTCTCCTAGTTTACAAAATGAAGCTATCTTGGGAGGCGAAGGTTCGTCAAGGTAGATGATGTCATCCATTACAGTAGTATCTGTTCCTACCTGCATTCTTGAGTTAGAAGTGGGCAAGATGGTGGGGTTGAAAAGACTGCTTAACTTATTTTAAAACTGAACTGATGAAAAGTAGTTTAGTTTTGCAGTAAGATAATCACAGCAGACCTAGCTATGCCTTTTGCATTTTAAATATTTTACTGGGAGAAAAAGGTTTGAACTAATAGTCATACTATTATAAAAATATATGGGTTATCCTTTCATAGTAATCAGCGTTATAGGCACCTTCTCCCCTCATTGTCATCATTAATATATCTAGAACTTCCCGTGTCATCACTAATAAAGAGAAAAGTGACAAAATCTAGAATAAATAAGAACTTTGACAGAAAACAGTCTTAGGTCTATGGGTTTTAGCAAGGCTTAGTTTAAAAATTTACTAATGGGATTAATGCTAGTTGCTGTAAGATAGTTTGATTGTTTCGGAAGTATATTGTTCTTATATTTAATTGTAGTATTTGCTTGTCTTTAAATTCTGACTTTTGACATATATGTTAAATACCACAAGAAATTTTAAAGTGCCCTAAAAGGTACTGTGTTGCTGTCAATAAAATAACTTGGCAATTAGATTATGAAGCTACTGGGGGAAATGTTTAGAAGGTAAGATTAGTGCTGAAGGAAAGAGAGAAGAAACATGATTACTATTAATTCTAAAACACATTTTTCTCACATTTACATATCTGAAATTAGAGTGTATTTTATAATTATTGATATCTTAAGATCACCATAGACTGCCAGCTAATAACATAGTTTTCACTGTGTCATTTATGGATAATTACCATAAATATTAATATTGTTATTCATTCTGTTATATGCCATGTTGGTATTTAACTTACTAAGTATAATATCTGTTTTATATATACTTTTAATGATTGTGACTTAGAGTCAAAATGAAGTTACTATGTATTCAGAAATACAGGAAACTAAATAGTAATATAAAATAAGAGTCTAGGGCTAAATTTAAAAGTTTTTCAGTAAATATATATGAGATTTATTAGAATGGCTTATATGCTGTGGTCCATTTGGTTTATCAATGGCTGCCTACCAAGGGAAGTTCCAAGAATCTCGAAGTTGTTTACTTTATGAAGCTGAATGTCTCAGCTGGTCTTCAGTATGCATGATAATTTCAAAGAAGTAGTCTGTAATGCCAGCGAAGGAATGGATTTGCCAAGAATAGAATCTGGTACCGGAGTAGTTGGGGGTTAAAAGAAGTTACAGCCAAGGAGAGTGAGCTTCCTTCTTCCATGTCTTCTATAGGCTGCAAGCTGGTATGGCCCAATAAACCTTCTACCTCAGAAGTTCCAGATAGAAGTGGGTCTTTCCACTTCAAATTATTTAATTAAGAGGGAAAAAAAATCCTTCACAGGTATAGTGAGCCACTCCCGTTTTAGTTAATTCCAGGTATAGTCAATTGGACAACCAAGAATAGCGTTCACAACGTGTCTTAAGGGATAAAGAGCATTGGAGTAGCTGAATCTACAATCTGTGAAGGACATTCAATTATATACAGGTTGTATGCATAAATAAAATAGTAGGATGTCTATAAAGCTATTTTACACTTGATGGCATCATAGATTTGATGCAGTTGAATACTGAAAAGTATTACATCTAAGAAAAGTACCTTTTTACATAATTGTGGATTCTGAAGTCGTGAACTTAGGGATTCAGAGAATTTGAGTGGCATTTCCAGTTTATTTGTAGAATTCTTGTGCTATAAAGTAAAATTAAAACTTCACATAAAACTTTAATTTCCCAAAAATAACTAAGTTTTTTAAAAGCTTTAATTTCCAGTAACTTTAAAAAAAAGATAATGGTTTCTGACCTCTTAGTTCCAGAGTAGTTGTGAGTTAAAAGAAGTCACAGGCAGTGTGGATGAAGTAGGAATGTCCAGCACTGAGACTGCTAAGGTTAAGAAAAAATAAAGACAAGAATCTCCAAACGTAGTATCTTAGGTTGTGTTTACTCAGTTGTGTGTACTCTGAATTCATGCATTCGATATTATGTATAAGGAACATCATATAATTAATTGCTCTCTGTGTTTCATGAAATGTCATCATAAATTGAGACAAAAGTAATGTCATGAAAAAATTTTGATAATACCTTTTCAATGCTTTTTATATTTTGAGGGGTTTTAAAATATATTTTTATTTTATTTATTCACTTTACATCCTGATTATAGCCCCCTCCCTTTTCTCCTCCTGGTTCCACCCTACCTCCCTCTTGCCCTCTCCCCTCTCCCCTACTTCTCAGAAAAGGGGAGCCTTCCCCACCAACCCACCCTAGCACAGCAAGTCACATCAAGACTGAGCACATCCTCAATCCACTGGTCCACTGAGGCCAGGCAAGGCAGCCCTGCCAGGGGGTCATGATCAGAAAGCAGACAACAGAGTCCATGTCAGAGACAGCCCCTGCTCCTCTTACTAAGTGACCCACATGAAGATTAAACTGCCCATCGGCTGTAAATGTATAGGGGCCTAGGCCCAGTCCATGCATGATCCTTCAGTGGTGTTTCAGTCTCTGAGCCCCCTGCACCCAGGTTATTTGACACTGTTAGTCTTGTGGACTTTTGTCCTCTGTAGGTCCTTCTGTCCTTTCTCCCACTCTTCCACAAGGCTCCCTGTGCTCTGCCTAAAGTTTGGATGTGGGTTTCATCATCTATTTCAATCTGCTGAAACAGAGATGGAGCCTCTCAGATGATAACTTTACTAGGGTCCCACCTACAGGCATAGCAGAGTATCATTAATAGTGTCAGGGGTTGGCTCTTTTCCATAGAGTGGGTCCAGGCATTGGTTGGACTTTCACTCTATCTCTGTTCCATCTTAATTCCTATTTTTGTTATTACTTAATAAAGAAAAGAGGTTTCATTTTTATCAGTAACGTGCAAAAAATGTTTTTGCTGTGTTGCCTTTACTGCCCTTCTTTCCCTCTCTCTACATAAAGTTCCTTATGTGTACAGGTACTGTACATGCAATGAAGTGTTAAAACTATTTTATTATATTTTTAACAAGTTACCAATGTGTAAGCATCTCTCAAACCATCCAGACAATATGGGTTCCAGTAAATGCTAATGATGCTGTTTCTTTTAGGTTCCATCACTAATTAGATTGGAAAATGCTTGATAATTATGTTTGGAGAAATTACAGCATGCTCATTAAAAGAGCTAGCTCGAGCATCAGACAGACTTGAATTTCATTTCTCGTTAACTAACTGTATTACCTGGGCAAATTAATTTTAATTCCAGTTTTTTTTTTTATAATAGAGATGCAATATTCATAAATGATTCATGTACTTAGGTAGCAAGTAATAAGTATTCTACAGATGTTACCTATGTTATTCCTATTACCGGTGAGAAGTGTTGTATATGTTAGCATAATAAAAAGATATATGTATTTTAAATCTGTGTGTGCTTGTGCACACATGTGTATCTGTGTGCCTGCCTGTGTGCATGTGCACCATTATGTGCATGCCGGAAGCCTGCAGAGGCCAGAGGGGCCCTGGAACTGGAGTGGCGCTGAGTGTCCATGTGGATGCTGGGAACTATACCTGGGTTCTCTGCAAAAAAACCAGAAATGGTCTTAACACTGCACCATCTCTCCTGCCCCAAGGAGACTTAATATTTTTTAAAGTTTAACCTATACTTTGTAGTACAGTAAAATTATAATGGAATGATTAACATAAGATAGTAAATGAGCACTGGATCATCAGTCAAAGGTTTAAGCTTTCAGTATTTTTAAAGTAGCACCATCTCCCCAGACACAACTACATTAATTTTTCCCCTCGCTCTACCGTCTTTTCCTCTTTTATTTGAAAGCTCAGTGACTGTTTATTTTCTCTCTCTACTTTGAACCCAACAAGAGACAAAATGGGGGATTGTAAGTAAGATGAGATCATGGGCATGGACATAAATTACTTCTAGGGACCTGTCAGCCAACAAACAGGAAATAATAGTGTCAGAGTTTGCACATGCTTTGCTTAAAGACTTTGACCTTCCATCATTTTATTATTAAACCTGGGTGGCAAGGGTAACCCAAAACTTCATGATGGTGTTGATGATCCTAAGAAGATAGCTATACTAAACCCAACAACAGTGTTCAGGCAACAGCTGAAGAAGAGGCCGAGTGGAGGGACAAAGTCGGTGAGAATATCCTATATAAAACGACAAAAGTGAAACAAGGAGAAGTTGGTCACAGCCTGTTAAATGTGTTTTTCACTTAAGGTTTGTTGACTTGTAACCATCTTTTCTAAAGAATTGTATTTTTCTACCCTTAGTTGCCTATTGCCAGAAAACACAAAAAAATTAGATATCTGTTAGTTTCCTTTCTGTTGCTGAGATTAAAACCCTAACCAAGAGCAACCTGGGTGAGGAACAGTTTTATTTCCACTTAAGCTTTCAGGTAGCAGTGAAGTCAGAGTAGGTGGATGGCACTTTGATGCTAGCTCTCCTGCTCTTCATGGAGTCAGCTTTCTTATACAGCTGAGGACCATCTGCCCTGGGATAATAGCACTTGATTCACAAGAAAGGACTTCAGACGGTACTCTGTACTGTTTGATTCTGTGTGCTATACTGCCTCCAGTAGTTTGCTCGGTAAGTTCAAGTCGTTTTAATTTCCTTGGTCGTATGGCAATTCCTGTTTGTAGGTAAAGTATGCAAAGGTTTTCAAGTGGCTTCGATGTATTCCTAAAGTCAGGACAACTCACATAAATTAAGTTTCCTCTTAAAACACAAAGTTCAGAACTAAAGCAATGACATTTAATGGTCTGTATGCCAATGACAAATTGACACAGGGCATAAACAAATTATATCAGTCTATAAGTTACATTTTTATTTTTTTATGCCGTTAAGCCTTGAGAACAACATTAAACTAGAGAACTAGAAAAAAACCACAGCACTCACTAAGCAGCCCACTGTGTTCTAAGTTTCTTGAAGATAACAATTGTATAAGATACCTTTTTTGTTGTGTTCTGAGAACTTTGCTCACTGCCTTGCTTATGATAGTTTAGCCACAATTTTTCTGCTATGTGTCAAAAATCTTGATTAGTATTATTTAAGCTGTACCATTTTGACCTTCACCAGTCCAGTGAGAAATTTTTAAAAAGCCCCATTTCTTAAGAACTTAAAAGGCTATGAGAATATGTAGTTAATTTTTTTCAGATTAAATTCCTGTTTATATATTCCATGTTATTATCAACTGGTTTTATGGTGTTTTGGTTTGGGTTTTGCATTATCCCATCATATGGTAAACTTTGGGATATTTTAAAGGTTGATTTGCTTATGAAAAATATAAATATTTTTGAACAACTGTAATGTAGGGTTGATATTAAATGGTCATTTGCAATTTTAAAGCAGTCATGTGTTATTTGTTGAACAGTTTTCTTTATTATGAAATTGTTCAGTGAGTGACTTCATTGAAAATTGGTATTTCTGCAATGTTTTTGTCATTGTTCTATTTTTAACTATAAATTGGTGGTAAATAAGAATAATTTATATTGTTAATAATGCGTAATCTCAGTTTTGAGTGTGCTTGTCTTTATAGCAGCCAGTTTAACACAATGAGTTAATCTCAGGATGTTCAGTTATGTACATTTTACTGTACCTCAATACAATACTTTTCTTTGAATTTATTATAAAAATTCTGAAAAATGTTACAAAGGTCATTGGTAGGTCTCAGGTAGTCTGTATATCTAGAAACGAGGTCAACCTGAACTGTAGAAGGATTTCTGGCAGTTAGATAAAAGCCATCATTCCTCAGGAACTTTTGAAAGGGTTCCCCTCTTGGCAGAGGGGACATTGTGCATTCTCTGGAAGAAGGGACATATGGCTCTCTGTGGGGTTTATCAGTAGATCAAAGTGCATGCTGGCCTCTGGGCTGCTTCAGTATCATAAGTACCTGTTACACATTTCAAAGTCCACTAGCATCCTGCCCTTCCCCCTCCTTATATCCACATTATTCGGCCTCCCCACTCTCTGTCATTGCTTGATATCCTCCTGCTCTTTCCACTGTGCTCTTGTCTCTCTTGCTATCAGGCAATCTCCCCTATTTTCTCCTGCTCTGCTGCTTCCCTAGCCCTGGCCGTGTTCAGTCTACTTTCTCTCTGCTCTGGACTCTTCCAGATCCTTCTACATATTTTCTCTTATTCACAGTAAAAACCTTCCCTTAATAATGGAGTGGTTATGTCAGCAGTTTCTTTACTGCACCTCCTCAGATACTATGTTATATATGTTAGCATTATTTCTGAGTGGACGCATGATAAATGGTGTTTCTTCTAACTCGTGATTTTTGCCTTTCAATAGTTAGCCTTCTTTCTTCACACTCTTTCTGAAAATTTTCAGTGTACGTGACTTAAGATACAGTCCTCTAAGCCCTAGAGGACAGTAGGGCTTAGAGAAGGAAGGGAGTCAGCAGTTCTGTTTTCTCTGGAACACAGGTATGATGTTCACCAGCTCAGTGAACATTATTGTCCTTTTCCTTTAGTGTAGGATAACAAGCTCATTTTATATTCTACAGCATTTCAGGCTTTAAAGTTTTCCAGTCTTAAGTCTAGTTAAATAATATTTCTTTTCTGCACTTAAGAACAAAGTAGATTTTCTCTTCCAAACAGATACAGAAATTAGTTTACTTAACATTCCTGCCATATTTGCTTTTTTAAATGTTTCTTTCAGGGGTCACATGTGTGCATGTGGTACTATCAGGTAAGGCTGGTGCTGGTCAGCTTTCTTAGGTATCTCCTGCCTCCTTGCAAGGCTGGAATTATAGGTGGCTGCCATGCCTGCAGGCATATACATGGGTTTTGTGTCAAGCGTTTTAACCACTGAACTATCTGCTGCTTACTTCTGTTCTCCAAAGGAAAAATGTTTAAGGTATTGGTCAGTTATAGAAGAAAATGTTTTTCCTCAGATTGTTTTCCCAGCATCCTCTAAAATAGATGTATTCTTTCCACTTCCACAGTATGTTTATTACTTTCCTTTTAGGATTTTCTGCCGATTCTGGGCAAAGATGGCAACAAATGATGCTGTTCTGAAGAGACTAGAGCAGAAGGGTGCAGAAGCGGATCAGATCATTGACTATCTCAAGCAGCAGGTCGCTCTTCTCAAGGAGAAAGCAAGTGAGCACATATAAACACTCCAAGGAAATTGTGACAGGAAAATGTTGATTGTTATAACTTAATCATATTAATTATGCCTTTTAGAATCCCTTAATTTTAAGCATAAAAATATTCTAGGATTATGATAAATTAGAATTTATATATATATTGAATATAATATATAAATTATACACCATGCAAGGAGGTTTATTTTAGGGTGGAATGGAAAAAGAGAGGGACACAGTTGGAGAGCACAGAAGAAGAAAAAGAGGGATGGGAGGGGGACCCCAGGAGAGAAAGTCAGAGGGAGAAAGAGCAGTGACAGCCAGTTCTGTCTGGAGCACCCCTGGCTTATACCTGGTGACAGGTGATAGCACATCAGGTTGCTAGGCAACCCAGAGGCAGGCTATTGGGATCAGCTTGTGAACTAACATTGCAGTAAATGTCCTAGTTTGAGTTGTGTTATTATAAAACACAAAAAGCAACATGAAAAGGAAAGGGTTTATTTCAACTTAAAGCTTACAGTCTATCATGAAGGGAAGTCAAGGTAGGAACCTGGAGGCAAGAACTGAAGAAGAGGCCATGGAGGAATGCTGCTTACTGGCTTGCTTTTTTATATAACCAGGACTGCTGCCCAGGGGAGGTATCACCCACAATGAGTCAGGCCCTCCATAGTAATCATTAATCAATAAAATAACCTACAGACCAGTCTGATAAGACTTTTCTTAAATGAAGTTCATTCTTTTTAAGTGACTCTTATGTCAAGTTGACAAAAAAAGTAACTAGGGCAGTAGATATATAATTAGAGAAAATGATGATGTTTTAGGCCTGATAAATGAAAAGTCTTATTTTTTAAAATTAGTTCCAATATTATGAGAGGTTAGTGAATTAAATTGGGGACATGTACTGTTTTAAGGGTCAAGATGTGTATTTTCATATTCTTTGCTCTTTGAGTTTTTTGATAAATTGCTGTGGTGTGTACAAAAACATTACTAAATTTCTTAAGGATTTGATTTCATTAATTTAGTATTTCTCACTAGCCATTGTTGGTGCTGTAACTGAAATTCCAAAATGTGCTGTCGGTAATTGAAATAAATGCTTTTTCTCCTATGAAAAGCTAAGAATGACTTGCAGAAACCTGTCGTTTTAAATCTTTCTTTTCATGATGTTTGCTAGTATTTTCCTTATAACCCTTAATATTCTTTCCATTAATAAGATAAAGACATTGAAGATGACCTCTGTGAAACTATAAATATTGTAAATTGAATCCTCTTCATTAACATGGCTGTTTCCAGCTGGGCAGTGCATGCTTTTAATAAAAAAGGCTATTTTCTAGAGTCAACTAACATTTCAGTTTTGCTAATTACAAAGAGTAAAGAACCGTTCTAACCACTTTTCTAGTTATTTTTGGTGGCCTATCCTGTCATTCCTAGCTTATGTCCCATGTTATAATATTTTTTATGATTTCTTTTAAAATCCTTAAAGAAAACATTTTAAATGAAATGACCATCTTTAACTTAAAAAATTAAGACCTAACAACCATATAATATATAAGAGAAGAAAGTTCTAGTAATAATAATGTATATCTCAAGGGAAATATCATGGCATTTCATCAAGCACTAGCGGATATTGCAAGCTGTGTGTTGCACAATAAACAGGCACAGACTTACCAGCAATGGAGTAGGTGCGGGATTAGCTAATGCCAGACACATATCCAGTCTGCCTTGGCTTAAGCATCTCAGGCCAGAAGTAGGTTTTGCTTCTGTGTTTGATTTATTCTAAGAATAAGGAATGTGGACTAGGGTGTGACGCGGTGGTAGTCTCATACATATTTGAGGCCTTGGGTTTGATCCTGGCACTGAAGAAGAAAGCGATGAATGAATGAATGAATGAGCCATGAATGAAAGAGCACAGTGGACATATTGTGGTACTTGAGTTTTAAAAATTGCAGATATAATAAAGCTTTAAATGCATATGTATATGTAGTAGCTAGAAAGTTACTATTTACAAGGTTTACACTCATGCAGTTGCATACTAGAAAGTCCCACTAAACATCTGGAATCCCTGGCTCCTGACTAATAAATTCCAGACATAACTTTATAGTGACTACCTAGAATACTCCCGTCTAGGGGATAGTTCCTTCTCTGCTAAGAATCATTACTTCGTGTCATATTGTGTATTAGGTCCTAACAGTAGATTGGAAAATGTTTTTTCTGAGATTGGGGAGATGGCACAGTTGGTATGTTGTCTGCCACTCAAGCATGAGGATTTAAGTTCTACCCCTAGAACCCACATCAGAGCAGGAGCCTACTATTCCATTGCTGGAGCAACAGAAGGAGCCTTGGGACCTGCTGGCCAGCCAGCCTAGCTGAATAGACATGCTCCAGGTTCAGTGAAAGACGCTGTCTGAAAAAATAAGGAAAGTAACTGAGGGATATATCCCTGTGGACCTCTGGATACTACGTGCATACACACACAAACATACACACAGGCAGTTCCCTGTCCTGTTCTTTATTTTATAGATTTTTCTCCTCTTGAGTTAGCTGACTGGATCGGATATATGCCTTGAGTTGAGAATGTAGGGAAATGTGTGTACTAAACGTGCAGATGGATTTCCTTGTTTTTAAGCTATAGATCACAATTTACATTATGCACAGCTTCCAAGATTAGAGTCTGGGAGTCATACGCCCCATGTCCCAGTGACTACCAAGAGATTGTTAAGAATATTAATAAATATCAGATTGTCATAAAGTGCTGAACAAATACTGGTTTTTGTTTTCACAGCTATAATAATTTTTATGTCCTTGTGATATGATATTCAAACAAGACATTTTAAAGACATGTTTTAACTGAATTTTCTTGATTCTAGTTTTACAGGCAACTTTGAGAGAAGAAAAGAAACTCCGAGTTGAAAATGCTAAATTGAAAAAAGAAATAGAAGAACTAAAGCAGGAGCTAATTCAGGCAGAAATGCAAAACGGAGGTAAGTATAGAAATGCTGGGATGCATTTACGATGATGATGTTATCATTATTTATGTTTTGATGATGATGTATTTATTATTTAAGTTTTTCTGTTTATCTCATTATCCTCATGCCATTCCCACTACATTTCCCCCTCCTCTATAGGAAAACAAAAATGGAGACTTAGAAAAGGCAGTTGATCTCATTGAGATCATGGAAAGTGAGTGGTAAAGCTGGTGTTCAAAACTTAATGCTTTTCATTTTTTTTACTATGTACTTGAACTTGACCATTACTGCCATTGCTGTAGAAGACTTACTGAAAAAGTAGCTAAAGTAATTAGTTTACAGTTATTAAACATTTTCAGAAACAGTGTCCAGCTACATATCTTTTCGTACTCAAAAGACTTTAGTCAGCAGCTGTGCTCACACCTGTTACCCCAGGATCTGGAGGTTAAGGTGGGATGATTACTAGAAATTTGAGGCCACCCTGGGCTGCACAATGATTTCCAGCCAATTGTGGGCTTCAGATAAACCCAATCTCAAAAAGTAAAATAAAAAGTTGTCCTCAAATATCTTCATTTTATACACTGAGACAATGAAACTTGGAGATAGAAAGTTACTTTTTCTAAAAAAGAAAATCAAAGAACTTTTGTTACTCAAGCCATCAAATAATTATCAGTTGGGGTACACATTGTAAATAAAGTTAAAATTTTATTGACCTATTTAAAAACTTCCTCTCCATTTTCTGTGTGTGTGTGTGTGTGTGTGTGTGTGTGTGTGTGTGTGTGTATGTGTGTGTGTTTTGGCGTTGGGAGGCTGTATGTACACTTAATAATATGTGCGAAGCATGTGTTTTTCCATGCCTGTGGAAGCCTGAGGTTGATGTTTGTAATTACCTTTGATTGCTTTTCTACGTTGTTCTTTGAGGCAGGATCTCTCATCCAACTAAGAGCTTGCTGATGTGGTTAGTCTCACCAGGCAGCTTGCCGTGGTGATCTCCTGTCTCTGCCCCCTAGTCTGGAGTTACAAGCACTCCACACCCAGCATTTGGCATTTGTGTGGGCCCTGGGAATATTAATTTCAGCCCTCATACTTCGTGGCAAACACTTCTACTACTAAGCCCTTTCACCAGTCCAGTGAAGCCTTTGTCTATTACTGCCTTCTTTTGACATTCTGCCAACATGTTATTTTGAATGTTGTATGAATTCTTTTTAGCTAAATAAAATAAAGGGAAAAATAACAAATACTGACAGCTGTCATTTGTCTGTGGAAAATGTGAGATTGATGAGTGTTTTCTAAGACTAGTAGATTTGGAATGCAGCTACAGAATTAAACATAAGGTTTTAATAGTCTTAAAACTTTTTCATTTCTGTCAAGGCCAGAAAGTTACTCTAATCCATTTAACATGCTCTTACTACTTAGGCTTTTTTTCAAGGTCACTGATGATATGTAAGTTGTTTAATACATTAAAGAGTTGCTAAAGTGCTTTGCCTCTGTAAATAGTTTTGAGAAAAAGAGGGAGTGAGGGAAGGAAGAAGAAACAGACAGACAGATGGACAGACAAAGATTCCAGAGACCTGAAGGATCTATCAGATGCATAGAGCTAGAGTTACGGGTAGTAGTGAGCTGTCTGGCCTGGGCGCTAGGAACAGAACTCAAGTCCTGTGAAAGAGCAGCTACACGCCCTTAACTGCTGAGCCATCTTGCCAGCCATATCTGTAAACAGTTGCCATTTTTTAGGCATAGAAACACATAGACATATAATATGGTATCTCTACTTACTGCCTATGTAATGCGCCAATTTGTAAACTTTTTCATGGCTTAGGTTTATCATCTATAAAATAGTGATGTGGAATAAAATAGAATCTACTTAGGAAATTTAGAAGAATCATAGGAGATTTGAAAACTGTTTAAGATCTAGTATGTCCATGGTGAATATTAGGTCCTGTTGTTATTTTATAGTATTCTTACATTAGTTACAAATGAATAAATGGAAATAAAATTTTTTGTAACCTTAGTAATTGTTAAAATATACCTAATTATTGGTAAAAAAAAAAAATTTTTATAGCCTCAGATAATGGGTATGTGATAGTCATATACATTACATTTTTCTCTTATAAGGGTTCACATTTGTGACTTAGAAACCTGTTGTTCCACCTTGTTTGTGAATTTAACATGAATGACCCTTGGTTCATTTTCTGTATGTCAGTGAAGCAAATACCAGTCCCATCGGGACCTCCACTGCAGGCTGATTCTGCACTTTCTGCAAGTGTGACACCATCTTCATCAGTAACAACAACCTCCTCTTCCAGTAAAAAAGAACACATTAAAGGAGAGGGAGGAGAGGAAAAGAAGGTAAAAGAGAAGCCTGAAAAGAAAGGTACTTTTCGTCTTGACGTTTGACTGTTTTATCTGATAATATTTTTATGATGATAATGTGTCAATCAAAACATTTAGAACAGTCTCTCTTTAAGATTGAATCTGGAAGATATGGAGATGCTGATGACATTGTCAGGGAAAAATTGGGTTCTGTTATGCAGAGGAATCAGTGTTAATAAAAACATCAAAAGATAAGATGTATGACTAAATTTTGATGGATGCCTGGAGCTTTGTTCCAAAGAAGTCACTGCTTAAGATTGGCTTACAGTCATTTAGGAAAATAGGACAGTAATATCCACAGCAGAACATTCGAACTGAGGCATGGAGATGCTAAGGAACTGCTAAAAACAACATGGCAAGAAGCATCTGACCTTATTCATTAGATTTCTCTTTAAATCTGCTTTATAATTCATCCCTAAATTTGTCTTCTATTATACTTAGACTCAGGTAAAATTTTTTGGAAAATACAAAATGTCTGAATGCTTTATGAACGATGTAAGTCATTTTAGTATCCAGTACTTGTCACTGCCTTATGTAACTATCATTAGACTATGTTTAGAAGTACAGAGGATCAGTGAAAGCCAGTCAGCATCGAGATACAAAATACTCCTGAATAAAGAAAGATCTTATTCTTTCTTTAATCTGATGCTATGACTAGTCAACCTCCTAGTGAGTTTAGGCAGCAGTGTTAGAGGACAAACCCACAAAACTCAATTGCACTGTGTTCAGGACACTTCTGTCCAGTTAAACTTTCTGTCATGGTGGTTATATGCTGCATAGTTATTTTTCAACAGGGTAGCCAAAATCCAAATATAGCTATTAAGCACTAAAATAAATGTGGATATAGATAATATGGATATAAATATATTGTTATAGTTTATAATGCAGTATAGTGAATTCTGTATAATTTATCACATAAAAAAAACATGATTTTGATGTTTTTCTACTATATATCTTCATTTTTATAAAAATCTTTGTTAATCTATAGTGGAAAAGGAGAAATGTAAAACTATTCCTATTTAAACTAGTTCTGACTCTTTTGTGAACGATCTGTATGAATGACCAGGTCCTTTTCTGTGCCATGCAGGATTGTGTTTAATTCCTCTGTATTTCCTTGAGTGTCTTATGTTAACACATACTTGTTCTCCAGTAGTGCCTCTTTATGCACAGCTTCGCTTACAAGTTTGGCACTATAAGAAATTAACAGTGATGATTAAAATAAAATGGAATGCTAGAAATAATGTGCTACTCCTATTTGGTTGGTTTTTGAAAGAGAAATAGCTAAACTTATATAAAGGTTTTATGCCTTGCTCTTAATTTTTACTTTATGATAGAAATAAATGTTCTTATTTGTTTTTTTTTTTTTTCTTTTTTCTTTCTTTCTGAACTCACCATCCCTGGTACCAGAGTACCAGAGGCTTCTCCTGGTATTTTTTGTTTGTTTCATTTCTAATACTTACATATTCTTAATCCTTAGGAGAGAAAAAGGAGAAGAAGCAGCAGTCGACAGCAGCGAGTGCTGACTCTAAGCCAATAGATGTATCACGTCTGGATCTTCGAATTGGTTGTATCGTTACTGCCAAAAAACACCCTGATGCAGATTCGTTGTACGTAGAAGAAGTGGATGTGGGAGAGGCAGCCCCAAGAACAGTTGTCAGTGGACTGGTGAACCATGTTCCTCTAGAACAGGTGATCTGTCCCACTCAAGTGACTGCTGCTTGCCTTTGTCACTTCAAGGGATCTACTTATATGTGTTGCTTTAAATGATTATGATGTGAACCTCAGAATGCTTGGTAGGGAGCAAGTGATGGCTCAGGGGTTAGGAGCAGGACCCGGGTTGGGTTCCCAGCACCCACCTGACAGCTGACAATCTGTAACTCCATTTCCAGGCTCTCCAACACCTGCTTCTGACCTTCCTATGCAACAGGCATGCTCTTTGTGCATATGTGTGTGTATATATATATATATATATATATATATATATATATACACACACATATGCAAAACACATATAAAAATAAAAAAATAATGGTGTGTGAGGCCACCACAGACTTAAAGGCCTGTAGGATAAAATAAATCCAGTAGGACAGAAAGAAGAAAGCATCGTTTCCCCCTAATTTTTAATCTCTGTGTGTGTTTGTGTATTAATATATGTGAGTGGTGTGTTTTAAGAATGAGTGTGGGGTCAGAAGACAGTCTAGGGTGTAAGCTCTTACCTTCCACCTCTTTTGAGATCGAGTCTCTTGCTGTTCGATACTATATAGACATGAAAGGTGGTACCAGAATGTTTTAGTTCTCTTTCATAATGTTTAAAATAATTACGTGGAATTTCTCATGAATATATGAATATTTAATTATTTAGAAATTGGGATTGAGTTTTGTACCCTTCACCGCTTTCTCGGAGCAGAACTGACAACAGTTCTCAGTCTCTGGTCTCCCTAGCAGGTACTCATGTACAGCTTCATCCTTGGTGTAAGTGAGGTGGAGGGTCAGCTCTGGCTGGGGTTTGTCACTACAGTGCTTGTAGTGCTGGATGGTTAAGGTGGCAGTGAGTAGTTTCCTGTATTATGTCCTAGTAAGACAAGAATGACACTATGTATTCTGTCTTTCATGTTGCTGGTGATGTGAGGTTTTGGGTCTAATTTGAGTTGTTGTATACTACTAATTTTACTACTACCCAAACATGGTACAATTCTGATCAAGAATGCAAGGACACTTTAATGACACTTCCACATGCTCATTCCTTTAATATTTTTCGTGCCTAATTGTCTGAACCAGTAAAGACTGGGTTTTCATTATTCCATGAGAGAAATTTAATTGTTGGGAGGAAGTCATATTTTGAAATACCAACATATCCTCTGCTGTTGGAATTTTGGCACTCAGTATGTGGTTTGATAAAGCATAGCTACAATTTCCATTATTGTGTATTCAGATGTTAATTATACTCCAGTAAGAGCAGAGCTGGGCATTTAGAATATGTAAAAGGAATTACAGTCTATTCTATGAACAGTGCCCTTTCATGATAACCATTTTGAAATCAGATTCATAGTCTGTGATACTATCCTCAGAGCAGTGTTTCTGGGAGTTCTCTGCCTTGATGCACTTAAGTTTTAAAGCCCTCTTCTCAAGAATTTGTTTTCTTTATTCTCTCCCTTCACTTTTGAATACCACATTCTTGAAAAATTAAATGTTTGTTTTAAAACTGTAAAAGCAGCGGAAAGAATCAGGGCGGCAGCGTTCAGTTTGCTCTTTCTGGATGTTGTCTGCAGTGGTTTGAATTGTCAGCTCATCATGTTTGCTCTGATGCTTCAGGGCTGTTGCAAAGGCTGGGGACTCAGTGTTAAGACCGCTCTCCCTCTCTGTTTAATTCCTCCCTGCTGCTGCTTGGCTGTTTTACTCTGGATAAATCCATATTGTTCATTTGCACTTCCAGATTCAAGTATGTATTGGACACCTAGTATGTACCAAGCACTGTTCCACACAAAAGATAAAGTAGGTTATTAGAAAAGTTACTTTGAAAGGAAAACAAAACAAACGAAAAACCCTGCTCATAAGAAATGTTTTTTTTAAGTGAAATTTGCTTTTACATGAGCATATAAAAAATAATAACAATATAAGTGAACCTATAGCATTAGAGATAAACCAGGAAGAAATTAGGAAAGACTCTTGGCTAAATCAAGTTTGGGATGCTATTGCCACTTTATACAAAGTGCTCAGACAAAAATATTCCATGGAGAAAGTGACATTTGAGTCATGTGTCCTCTGCCAAGCATCTGGAGTAGCCCAGTTCCAGGGAGATGAGAGTAAAGAGTGGAGAATTATGGGAGAAGAAATGGTGGTGCTAGATGACAGGGTCCTCCCAGAGATCATTTTAAAGAGTTCAGATAGGAGTAACACGAGAGCCGTTGTTGTTGGCATTTTGTCCAAAGAAGTTACAAGAGCACTGCATTATTCTTTGATAGGATTGTCCTTACTGCTTTCTTGAGGGGTGGCTGCATGATAGATCAATGAAGATATTTCTCCATTTTTAAAAACCAATTTGTTTGATGCACGTATGTACACCCCCCACATTTACTTTCCTTTTTTTTGAAGCAGGGTATTTTTTTATGTAATTTTGGCTGACCTTGCATTCAAAAAGATCTTCTTACATGCCTCCTGAGTTCTGGGAATAAAAGTGTGCCAGTCTTTATAAAATTAGTCTTTTTATTTGTTTGTTTGTTTATTTATTTATTTATTTGTATTTCAAGCCATGGTTTCTCTGTGTAGACAAGGCTATCTTGGAACTCACTCTATAGACCATGCTGGCCTTGAACATAAGAGATCTTCTTGCCTCAGCCTCCCGAGTGCTGGGATTAAAGATGTGTGCCACAACAGCCAGGCTTGGATTCTCTCATTTAATATCCAAGCCATCTCTATGTCTTTAAAGCTAGATTCTTAAGAGAACTAGGAGAATGAAGCAGCTGGTTTTGAACCAGCTTATAGTGGAAACATTTCCTGTGTGGACTTTCCAGGACTTATTTCAGTAGCCATTGTGCAGGGCTATTTCTATAAACATCTAGCTGAATGACAAGTTCAAGACAGTACTAGTGAGCATTCTCACTTTAGGCAGACACTTGGCCTATAAAAGTTCCTGCACCCATTTGTCTATTAGTTTCCCAAAGAAAAAGAGCAGTTATCTTAGAGCCTGAAAAGGCTGTATTTATTTAGTTAAGGTACAACTCTTACATAGATTTGTTTTTATAATTTGTTACAATGTGATATTTTCAAGTGTTTGAGGAAGGGGTGTTATTTGTGAAGGGCATTCAAGGCATGTTTTAGTTGGTGTACCTAGAAATAAATTTATACCGAATTTGTTTAGAGAGCCATCTTTTCTCAAGGTTACATCTTTTATTTTCTTCTTAAAGCTGTAATCTTTTGTGTCTTTTGTTTTAATTAAGCCTGGAAAGGATTGGAGTAATTTATTTGTTAGTTGGGATAAAAGTTAAGATATTTCAACTCTGGAAGATTGAAGCAATTTCTTTTAACTCTTCTCCACATTATAGAAATAGCTCCAGTGTTAATTGTGATGTGTACAATGTTTGAATTATTAAGTTGTTAGTTCCTCTTTAAGAAAGAATGGGTTGGGGGTGTTGCTGGGAGGGAGAGTACAAACAAGGTCTGTACAAAGTCTCCAGAAAAGCAAAGGAATCTTGCATAATATTAGAAATGGCCAGATGTGTAGAGAAAAAATGTTTATGTAAGTGAGTTCATTTATTTTTGTTCTAACACTAAGGTAAATAATTTAAATGCTTGTTGTAATTTGATCCTGTGACAACTCCTAAATTCAATGTGTTTTAACTAGTTTTTTTAGTGAAACAGCGGTCAACTTCCTCGGTTTCCAATTGGTTGTAGTTGAGATTTTACATTGAACTGGTTCATGCAGTTATTTATTCTTTCAATAAATATTTAATTAAAAATTTTCCACTAGGCTGTAGAGATGGTGTAGTGGTTAGGAACACTGGCTGCTCTTCCAGGGTACCCTGGTTCAGTTCCCAGCACCCTCATGGAGACTCATGACCATCTACAACTCCAGTTCCAAGGGATCTGATATCCTCTTCTGGCCTCCACAGACACCAGGCACACAGGTGATAACAGATATGCTTGCATGCAGACTCCCATATATACATTTGAGGAAAAACAAAGCATCCATATACATTTGAGAAAAGATTTCTACTATCGTGCTTATGCCATGCCAAACTGAAGGATTTTCTTTTTATGTTTATGCAAGGTCTCACTCTTATTTTCATGCAAGACTTCATAACAAAAAGTAACACAGAGACACTTATATCCACAAAGGTAGCACATTTGATAAGTAGAGAGTAGGTGTGCCTGGAGTATTCTAGATGTGATTATTCTAAATCTCTATACATATTTAATCATCACTTTCGTTCTGCACAGATGCAAAATCGGATGGTGGTTTTACTTTGTAATCTGAAGCCTGCGAAGATGCGGGGAGTACTGTCTCAAGCAATGGTGATGTGTGCTAGTTCACCAGAAAAAGTGGAAATTCTGGCCCCTCCCAATGGGGCTGTCCCTGGAGACAGAATTACTTTTGATGCTTTCCCTGGTAAGTACCTATAATTATGTAAATGGTTTGGAGACCAGTTTTTAAAGTGATGTTTACAAAGCTTAGAGGTTAAAACCATTCCTGTGTGTGTGTATGCAAAGGCCTTTCATGAAACTGGATTAAAATAGCACAGAGTGTATAACATAACCATCTTACTGCCTATAAAGTCACACATAGGAAGTACTACAAAGGTTTTGTCTCATGTAAAATGCTTATAGTCATACCTACAGGACAGTATGACACAGATGTGGATCAAATTAATGTCCTGCAAAAATCACCAAAGCTGTAAATGATAACACAAAGGCTAGCAATGGAAAGTCAAGTTCCGTTTATTCACTTTGCTTTTTTTTTGTCATAATCCTATGACAGCTGAAGTGTTGTAATACAGGAGAAATTGGGAGAGTTTCTTGTCATGTCTTACTACATTTGGAGATAATGCCTCACCTACAAGCCAGGCCATCCTCCTGCTTTCTCCTCCCACGTGTTGGAATCACAGACATGAGCCACCATGACTAGCTTAAGAAATAGGTCTTTGAAGCAGAAGAAAGGATGCCTGCCAGATGTAGAAAACGTTTATCAAAACAAGAAGCAGGCTAGCTAATCTCTTCTCAGTAGGAGCCGCCTGTAGGGGAGCCGCCTTCGGGCCACAGACATCCCGGAGGAGTAAGCTATAGTGGACATGTGTGCACACACTGTCAAAATCCATACTTGGCAAACACCCCAGAGAGTTTTGCAGCCCCTCTGAGCCTTTCCCGAGAAGGCTTTGGCGCTCTGCTGAACTGATACATTGGAGTCCTTGGCATAGCTGTGCCCATGTCAAAACACACATTCACCCAGGGCATCTTTTACCCCGCGTTTCCTCCACTCCGAAATATGGATATGTCTCAAACTTTATAGATGAGAAACCGTTATAACCTAGGTGTTAATGAGTTTTTTGTTGTTGTTGTTTTTGTTTTTACTTCATTGTTATTACCTGACTGTTACTGTGGGAAGGCATTGTTCCCTGAGTTTCTCTCTGACCCAGCATTTGAGGTGCTAGCATGGATTTCTTGCTTTCACGTGTTCTTGAATCTCTACGTTGGTTTGGCTGTCTTCATGTGCATGCTTCATTCTCCTCAGTCTGGTATTTTGTCCTAATTCTCTTCTTGTTCATGAAGCACTTGAATGTTCTCGAAAAGTTAATATTTATAAAGAGAACCAAACTTCACTACATGAGTTCACCTAAATAGTAATTTTATCACTTAGAATATGCCCAACCACACTGAACACTATCAAATAACTGATCAGATATGGTCCGAGTATTCATTTTATGTAAGCTTCCATATCAACTTATGTTTCTGGCACAGTAAATCTGACAAGTAAAAGGGATTTAATACCATACACAGTCATCTGGTCTTCGAGTGTTTTGTTTTGTTTGGGTTTTTTTCCTTATGAAGCCAAGGCTGTCAGTGATTTAGTTTTTTGTATCTTTTTTACATTGTGAAGCTGAAAGTATCCCCTGGAACTCCACTGTGCACTTGACATGTTCATTGTCTAGAGGTTGGCATGTTTATTAAAGACTTGTTGTAGAAATCACTCTGGGGACTCACATCTTTGAATTGCTATTTGGCCTTTAAAGAAGTTTTCCACTTACCTATTTTTTCCTATTACAAAGCCAAAAACTCCCATAGAGTTTAGAGGATGCCAAATAATATGTGTATAATAACTAAAACACTTCCCATCCACCCAACACTTTTTAAAATCGAATTGAGGACAACAATAAATTTTTATAATTATAATTTTTAAAAATTTAATTTTATAAATTTTAAATATACTAACTGGTCCCTAAAGCTCCAAGTAGAAATAATTTTAAGTTCATTTTTGTAGCCAGAAGATAAGGGTTGTGATAGATTTATTTTAGTTTTATATATAAATTTCTGAGACTGCACCATTTATGGTCTAATAGTAAATGGAAATTTACATTCAGGCTTTTAAATGATATGGTCATGCTTATATCCATTCATAATGAGCCTCAGCAGTAATAAAAATTAATAATCACAAAGTATAGATTCGCCTTTTGAATTCCTTTATTTTTAAAAATCAAAGTTATCTGTGCTCAGTTTTTCTTCTCTAAGATCAACTTTACTCAGGTTTCCTTCTCTGCTAATTCTCTGCTATGGTTAAGGAGCTCCCCCATTACTCGGTGGAGCACCATGGCTGGTTTTCAGGCTCGCTCTTAACCCAGTAGCATATTCTGTCTGTCTTCTTTCTCTTCTCATCGCCTTTTCATCCTTTTTTGTGGGCTGATCTACTGTGAGCTCTAACTGAGCACCTCAGACCTTGGTCTTTGGACCATTTTCCTTCCTTCACAAACTCTCCTTGCTGATTTCATCCAGCTGCGTGGCCAACTGTCTAGGAGACTTTTTACATGTCCCAAGGAAGAATATATGTCTCTGTCTTTTAAAAAGAGATGTATATATTTTACTTGTTTGTGTGCCTGTGTGTGTGTGTGTTTGTACTTTGTGCATGCCAGTGGCCACAGAGGCCAGAAGTGGACATTGGGTCCCCTGCAACTGAAGTTACAGGCAGTTGTAAGCCACTAGACGTGAGCAGTGGAAACTGAACCTGAGTCCTCTGCAAAAGCAGCAAGTGCTGGTAGTAAGTGCAAGTGCTGTGCCATCTCCAGCCCTCCATGGCCTAAATGTCGCTCCTTTCCACAGTATTTCCTCTCATAATACAGCCTAGACTGATGCCAGATTCGTCCTTCTACAGTAGGTATTCCTATGTGCAGGTGCTGACCTTTGGCATATGTGTAGCAGGCTGGAAGGCTTTACAGTACTTAATTTGAAGCTCTTGCACTGTCATCACCAGCGATTTTGGTAGTATGGCAAAAAGGAAAAGAAGTTAGGAAAATAACAAAAATGAGGATAGGCTTCTCTCTAAGATAAGCTTTACTTTTAAAAGATATTTGAAATATGTTTACTTCTTTTTACATTTTATTGTGTATATCGTGGGGGGGGGATTTGTATGTGTAGATACCATGAGTATGAATGTGGACATCAGAGAACTATTGGTAGTCAATTCTCTTTCTACCGTATGGGTCCTGAGGATCAAGCTCAGGTTGCCAGGCCTGAGTTTTACCTGATTTGACTCAGAGTTTAATTTTCTCTCATAACTAGCCTTATGCTCTATTGAACAGTGCATTATTTGATAATCAAATCATGAATTCAACTGTTCAACTGTTAGTATCAAGTGTTCCTAATGTAAAAGGTAAAATTTCAAAGGATAGGTGCACCGAGAACTCAGCTTAGTTCTAGACCACACCCAGAGAGAGACTATCGATCTCCGAGAAGTAAGTCACATGAACCTTTTGGTTTGCTTTGGGGCCAGGTGTGGTTGCGCATGACTTTAACCCCAGCACTAGGGAGGCAGAGACAGGCAGACAGATCTCCTAAAAAACAAGTTATATTTACACTATGATTATTAACTGCGAGTAGCATCATGTGTAAGAAAGAATGGAATGCAATAGAGCTTTAAAAAAATGCATAGTACTAAAAAATTCTAACGATTGCTGAGCCTTCCCCGTAATACCATGGTTCTGGTGTAGTGTGCCTTGCTGTTGGAGGCTCCTGATTGGTGAGGAGAGTGGTTGGCAAAAGCTGAAGTGGCTGCAATGCTCTCTTAAAATAAGGCAGTGGAGTTCACCATGTGATAGACATTTCAAGTTCTGTTGCGTATCTCACAGTGTGTGGACACAAGCAGTGCCTCACCCAGCAGCTTCACATGAAATTGCGGTGGTTTGGGCTCATCTTCAGGTTCCACTTGTAGTTTTCTTGTCCCTTATCCACAGTTGCAGTTACTTCCTCTACTGACATTTTGCTTATCTCAGAGTCATCTGTGGGCTTGGAACTTCTTTCTTCCAAACCTGTTTGTGTTGCTGTTTTAGCTTCAGTGCACAAGAGATCTTAGTGGCATGTAAAATAGTGAATACATAATAATTTTCAGCTTTGCCCAGGGGAATCACTGCTTGGGACAGCTGTTACCTTATAAAACGTTTTTAAATAATAAAACTTGAAATTTAAAATAATCCTTGACCCCTGGGCTGCAGAGTGTGTGCTATGTTAGGTATGAAGAAATCATATATCTCCATTACAGCACTTTGATGCCCAGAAAGGATATTTTGAAAGGAATTTGTTTTTACTGAGCTATAGTCTCAACAGTGGGCCTAGTATATTCTATAACTTTCCAGTAATACGATATATTCTATTATTTCCAGTAATAAGATAGTCTGATTCCTTATCAGTAAGTATAAGAGGGCCTAGTATATTCTATAACTTTCCAGTAATATGATATATTCTATTATTTCCAGTAATAAGATAGTCTGCTTCCTTATCAATAAGTATAAGAGTTACTTACTTGGTCTGTTATTTATCTTTAAACTTAGACCAGATACTTTCCTCCTTATTTGTCTTGTGTTGATTGTAAAGTACACATTGCCAGTTATTGCAAATAGAGGGATTAGTAGTATATCCACGTATTCAAGGGCCACTTGTTTCCTTTGTAAGGCGCAGCAGGGCTTATCAGGAGGCCAAGTGCTGTCTTAGTAGAGGTGGGCTCTGATGTCATGTTCTGCCTGTGCCTGCTGCTTGTGTGACTGAGCAGTTTATCTTCTCTCCTTCCCTTTCTGTATGTAGTACTAGGATCAACTGTTGCATACATTTCAGGCAATAGCATGTGCTCCTGGTGTTTAGAAAATGCTGCTTTTGTTCATACACAGGAAAGCATGAACTGCCCCCGCCAGGTGTAAAAGTCCATCTCATCTCAGATTTTCTTTACACGATGCTAGCATAATAATGTTAGGCTGGAGATGCACCTTAAATGATAGCATGCTTGCCTAGCAGTCTTGAAGCCTTGAATTCACTCCCCAACACTGTAGTAAAAGCAAGAATGATGATAACTTGGGAAAAAAAAAATATTAAGCCATATTACCTGTAAAATAAAATACTTAAAATATGTTTAGTATTTCTAAGGAAATAATGATAATCATTTTATTTTACCAATCAAGAAGAGACACTGCTTAGGGGAAAGCAAGGTTAGTAAGGATTCCGATTAAAGTTAAAAGTCAGGTGGTGACAGCAACCTCTTTCCCAGAGCATCTGAGTGAGTCTGAGGGTTACTTACATAACTTTTTCCCCCCCTCACAGGAGAGCCTGACAAGGAGCTGAACGCTAAAAAGAAGATCTGGGAGCAGATCCAGCCTGACCTGCACACCAATGATGAGTGTGTGGCCACATACAAAGGGGCTCCCTTTGAGGTGAAAGGGAAGGGAGTTTGCAGGGCCCAAACCATGGCCAATAGTGGAATTAAATAAGTGAGGAGCTCTGTAACTGAAGACATTGGAGAAACCTTAACAACAATAAAGGACTATATTTGTCATTTACACATAAAATATGTCTTGCTCAGTTTTTTGTGGACTTTTTTTTTTTTAATCTTGCTATAAGTCTTTTTTCAGATATTTTGTCACGGCAAAAGAAGGCTGATTATCAGAAACTTGGTACCCAGAACTAGGGACACTGCTTTAATGATGCCTGACAATATAGTTTAGAAGCCCTTGGGACTGCTTTGTTCAAGAGTTTCAAAGGTGTGGTTTATGCCAGTCAGTGGGGAAAAGGTTGTTCTGCTTGGACCTCAGATTAATGCTGATCAGAATGCAGGCAGTAAGGACTGTTAACTAGGTTTCAGACAAGAGTAAGAACTTGGGTTAGAGTTGGACTAAAGGTCATTCCTGTTATATCAGACAAAGAATTTGTTTACATTCCATTCAAGCCCTGAGATTTTGTGTGAAGCTGACTTTAAAGGTGACAGACCATCAATCCTCACTCAGAAAGGCAATTGGGACAGACATCAGAAAAGGGAGAAAATAGGTAACAGGATAGGAGCCTACCACGGAGGGCCTCTGAAAGACTAACCAATAGGGTATCAAAGCAGATGCTGAGACTCATAGCCAAACTTTGGGCAGAGTGCAGGGAATCTTATGAAAGAAGGGGGAGATAGAAAGACCTGGAGGAGACAGGAACTCCTCAAGGAGAGCAACAGAACCAAAAATTCTGGGCCGAGGGGTCTTTTGTGAGACTGATAATCCAACCAAGAACCATGCATGGAGATAAACCTAGTACCCCTGCACAGATGTAGCCCATGGCAGCTCAGTATCCAAGTGGGTACCCTAGTAAGGGGAACAGACTGTGTCTGACATGAACTCAGTGACTGGCACTTTGATCACCTCCCCCTGAGCGGGGAGCAGCCTTACCAGGCCACAGAGGAAGACAATGCAGCCAGTCCTGATGAGACCTGATAGGCTAGGATCAGATGGAAGGAGAGGAAGATCTCCCTATCAGTGGACTTGGAGAGGGGCATGGGAGAAGAGGGAGAGAGGGTGGTGGGATGGGAGGGAAAAAAAGGAGGGTGCTACAATTGGGATACAAAGTGAATAAACTTTAATTAATATACAAAATAAACATTAAAAAAATTAAAGGTGGCAGACCAATGTCTTGGAGACATGTTCAGGACAGCACAGCATGGATTTCATCAGGGTATAGCTGCCTGCATTTGGATAGATTTACAGCAAAAATCGTAAACAGAATTCAACTGCTAAAAGTAGGAAGATTTGAAAATTTTTCAGGTTGACCAGAAAAGACACTTTAGGCCATAGAGAGTATCATGAAGAGATGGAGGCCATTAAAAGATGCTAAGAACTTTGTACCAGAAAAAAACAACAAAACAGGAAAGGTACCTGAGCTGCTGGAGCTGCTCAGATCTCAGTGGAGGCTGGACTCTGTAAAGCGTTTTTCTCTTGAAGGTGCTTTGAGCATAGAGCCTGCTGTACAGAACCACCTAGGCCTCAGTTTGTGGGTCACAACCACTTTGTGGGTTGAACAACCCTTTCACAGGAGTCACATAGCAGATATCATGCATTTCTGATATTTACATTGTGATTCATAACAGTAGCAATAAAAATTCCATGATTGGGGGGTCACCACAATGAGGGGGAACTGTATTAAAGGGTCACAGCTTTGGGAAGGTTGAGAACAAATGGCCTACTCAGTTGCTTCCCCAGAATTTCTTTTATCCTGTTGACCTATCAAAATAACTTTGAGGCCATTGCAGCCATGCAAGGCGTCCCCCTGTCCTGCTGTTAGCAGATCTTTGCATTGTACCCTTGATGCTCATTTTGCAGACATACATAACGCAAGCATTGTAGGATCATGGAGTATTCCATGTGATTGTAAAAGAACAGGTACTGTGTATTGGGGCCAAGATCTCAGAGTACCTATTCATAAAGAGGTTAAGTGGAGCCTTAGATGTGATGGAGGCCCCAGAACTGTGGAATGCCCACTGAGGAAGCATAGAGGCAGCCCAAGAGAGCATAGAAGCTGCTTGAGCACAGAGCCATTCCACATGAGATTTGCCTCTTGAACATGCTCCATTTATTCTCAAACATTCCTTACAATATCACACTATTATAGAAATCACATTAGTCTCATCTCATGTAATCAGGCATCGCACCAACTGGGGAAGGACAGGAAAGGCTGCAGGCTTCCACTGGGAATCCACCAGTGAGACCATGTCTGCTGAGGCAGGCTGGGAGGTTGGCACCGTTGGAAGTCCCAGAAAGTCCTTGAAGAGCATCAGCCAGTGGCTGGCCCAGATAGGCACGCAGGCACGTGTGAACTCATAGGAGGCAGAGTCACACAGTAGCCAATCTCAAAGTCCCATCGCCAATGTTATTAGCGCAGAGGCTAATACCATGAGATGCCCAGTCTCCGGAGGAAGACAGGATCATCCTGGGTCCACCTCTTATATTCCAGTTTTGTACTGTCCTGGTGGGCCTTAGCTTTGTGATAATCAGTGTGCACAACCCAGGATTGGTTTGTTAACATAACAGGAGCATGCTTTTTGTTCTGCTCAGATCAGGGCTGCTTTAGGCTAGCTCCTTAACACATCTTAGAAGCAGTGCATTATTTCAAGTCACAGAAGGTGACTTCACTTAGGTTCTTAACAGTTCATGATCCTGGATGTGACAGTACAAGATTTAATGTTTGTCCTTTGGGGTTTTAATCTTGCTTTGGTCAGGTTCTTCCTTGATGTTTTTATGTTTTGGAATGGGTATGCTTATCTTTGCCTTCCCGCCATGGAAATACCTTACTTTTTAAGGTTTATGGAGGCTCACAACTAAGAGCTGTGTTGAGCCTGAGAAGAAACGTTGTACCTCTAATGACATGATGAAAATGTCAAGATTTTTAGGGTCTTGGAGATGAGCTAAATGTGTTTTTAAAAGATGAACATAACCCTTAGGGAGCTAAGTATGGATTGTTATGGTTTGGCTCTGAAATACCCCTTAAATATTCAGATATTAAAGACTTGGTCGGTAATGCAGTGATGCTCAGAGGTAAGGGAGTGGTTATACTGAGAGCTTTGACTAATCTGTTGATGGGGTTATACTAAATGAATCTTGGACATGGTAGAAACTAACAGAGGTTCTAGTTGATAAGATTTCACAAGGTGAGGAGGGCCAAGATGGCGGCGCCTGAAGAGCACCGTGTCTGAGAAGCGGGACAACACACTCTGTGCAGCGACCAGGAGACTGAACTCTGGGCCCTAAAACAACAGCTATCGTGTTTCCCAGGTGAGGGGAGGCTCCCACGATGTGGGAATCGGTCGGGTCCACTCTCGGCTGTCCTACCAGAACCCGGAGGAGAACCCAACTAATGCGGGCTTTGGGTCTCCGGGCTGGAGCCGCAAGCCTGCAAGCCTGTGTGTCCTGATCACTTTCCCAGACTGATGGGTGGGCACAAGGGTGCCTGAGACTGAGAGTCCCAGTCGCAAAAAAACCCCATGGGGAAGGAAAGTTGCAAGACTGATCACGGGTCACCCAGTCTTTCCCTGGAAGGTCTCGCTGACCACGGATACCCGCTGCCATCACAATTGAGCTCCCGCCGCGCACGGAGAGCAGCTGCGCACCCAGCTCAAAATCCCTACTCCCTCTTGGGAGGAGGCAAAAGGCGGCCAGCAGAATCTGCCACAGACCACATAGTCTGTACCCCAACCCGAGATCCGGGCAGAGAAAAACCCAATCCTTTCGGGCACTCCCCCAAACGCCGCCATAACCCTGCCGCAGCGGAGCAGAAGGATAAAGAGGCACACAGCAGCTTCACAGTACCGGAACTCCAGTGCTGCCGGGTGCTCATAGCAAACAAACTACAGCTCGGGATCTGGGACTGTGGTCATTCTACAGGTCCTGAGATTCTCCTGGGTCCAGCACAATAAGGTCTAGCAGCAAGTTCTATCACCAGCGCCCCCCCCCCCACCCCACCCCTGCCAGAGAAACGCCAGCTCAGGATCTGACTGAGAAGCAAGCCCCAACCCCTGCTGGCACTCCCCTGAGAGCACCTCCATAAGCTTGCCCTAGCAGAGGTGAAGGTCAGAGGGGAAGGACAGAGAGGCAGCCTGCCAAGGACACAGCACCCTCTCTCCAGCTCACCCAGCAGCCCCTAGCAGAGAAACCCAAGCTCTGGATCTGAGGACACTCAACCCTACCTGGTACTCTCTCGGGATCAGCAAACATAGATTCTACCTCTAGGCTGCTTCTGGAAGAGAGATCTGGGCCCGGGATCTGGGATTGAGTACACTCAACCTAACTCTTTCCCGCGCTACCCAGAGACCAGTCAACATAACCCATCCTGACAGAGGGAAAGGACAAGGAGGCAGCACACAGGAAAGGTGGACACCGAGTCCTGTGGCCACAGTGTCACAGAGGTGACTGTTAGCCTACCCGTGCACTTCCGCAGCAGGACCAAATCAGAGAGTAGTGAGCAAGAGGAACCCCTGTGCATTCCAACTGGTCCTGCAAGAGAGTGAGTGAGCCTTCTAGGGAGAGTTTGCCCCAGACCCAGGGCCTCTCCACAGAAGCAACCAGACGAGATCCCTGCCACCCATACCCCTAGTGTGGACATCATAGGGATTCTTGGGATAGCGACCTCAACATTGAAGCCTCTGCCTTGTGGGTCCATCAGTGTAATCCAGGCAAACAATCCCTGGATCTCAGTCAGAACTGCGTAATAGTGGCTTGCAGGGCACTGCAATAGTCAGAGAATCCGTGCATGCACACTGCGCCCGCTAAAAGCGCAAGCGAATAGCGTGTGTCACATTCCTTACTTAGGCAAAACTGAAACCACAGTGCACACTCCCAAACCAGTGAACCTCTCTCATCTTCCTGAAAAAACAGTCCAGAAAACAGAAAGAGAGGATCATAGCCCAAACTACAATCTCGAGGAACAAACAGTGAGGATTATAAATAACCAGATGGCTAGAGGCAGACATAAGAACACTCCCAAAAAAATCAGGACATAATGACCTCACCAGCAACCCCACAAAACAATGGACACTTCAATT